ACATTATTTCCTTTTTGGTACTCAACATTCTATTAGATCACAACTGCTAATATTTCTAATTTTAAACTGAGGAACCTGACTCCTGCAGAGGCCAACTATTTTGTCTTTTTCATGAGCTCACAAACTTGAAAGCAGCAGCAGCTAAACCAAGGCTTGCCTGAACATTCTATTGCTTCCAAGAAAATTAAGATAGCAAATTAAGAATTTAGTTGTATAATTCCACAAAATAAGAACTATAGAGTATCTGAGCATACAGTTGTTTAAGCAAAATCTCAGAAGTGCAAAAATATAATTCCCTGGAAGTCTTATCTGTATAAGCACAGGAAAGAGTCAAGGTCTACATTTAAATTTAAATGTATATTATATCTAAGAAAGCAAAGTGAATGTATTTCACTCTTCCACAGAATCATTGATACTGTTTATATGCAAATAAACTATAAAATATCATTTTTCAGAATTACTGGGGAAATCAATATGCCAACTAGATAGCCTTATTAAAGTTTCTATAGTCATAATGCTGTATGATTGCCACATTTTATTCAGAGTATATAATACATAAAAAACATATTTGACTAAAATCAAAAAAGCATAACTTAATGATTCAGGGGAAATTACAAAGTGACATGTTCTTCATTAATAAACCCCATACACAAGTCTCAACTCCCTATGGCTGCCTTTTACTCACCTCCCAATCATTCCTTATTCATCCAAAACTCCTAGATGTCATAGCTTATTTACCACCCTAGACTACTGGTCTCTTGACATTTTCATCTCTAGAGACTTAAACTACACCATAGACAACATTACTCCTCATAAATGCACAACCTCTGAAATCATAAATTCATTCATCTGTCTCATTTTTACAACTCCCTCTCACCCTTTCTTTCTCACTCATTTTCAAAGACAACAGTTCCTAAATGTCACATATCACAGAGACTTTCAAACCTGTGATGTGTAATATTCTCCCAATCATCCCCAATTCACCTTTATCCTCTATATTTTCCTTTATTCAATTTCTTTCAACTTTCACCATTCCAACTTCTCAATTATATATTTGGTTCACTTATACATATCTGGACACACAGAGGGACAGCAGAAAAATCCTCTTTCATCTCTAAGATGAATCATTAGCCTTCAGACCAGTATGTATATGTGGCTGCCTCTTTACTAGACATCTCTACATGAAAATCAAAAAGATGCCTCCAACTGAAGCAAACATTTTCCTCTAACAGGTGTTACTCATACTCCGATCTCTTTCTCTCTAAATGTCGCCACCGTCTGCCTCACTCTTGACTTCCTCATCTTATTTATATGAGACCCCTTTTCAATCACCAATCCCCATGTATTTATCAATTTCTCACCAGTTTGTCTGCCTGGATCTCTTCACCAGACTAATAACTCTGCATTCAATCTTTCTGGGCCCAGATTACTGCTTTATCACCAAAGTGATCTCTAAAAAATGCAAATCTCACTGTGAAATCCCTATAGTTAAAACTCTTACCTCTTAAAATAAAGCCTGGATTTCTTAATGTTGATAAGGCCCTGTATGACCTAAAACTTACACGGGTCATATAAATATATTTTTTTCCCACCATCATCCATTCAATAGTATAATCTAGTCATGTTAATCTTTAAGTTTCTTAAGTCTGCCTTTCAGCTATCTCTCTCACAAGCCTCAACACATGCTAGCTTTGAACAATCTTTCCTCCTCTCACCCCTCACCTCCCTACCATCCTTTTAATCTGGCTTATTCTTAACTTCAGATGTCTTTCAGATATACCTTCATCTAGAAAGCTATCTCTGATAATTTAAGACTGGGTTGTGTATCTCTCCTGTGTACTTCCTTAGCCTGCTATATTTCTTCATCACAATACTTATTATAGTATAATAATAATTATACTATATAATTATTATAGTATGATAATTAATTATAATTAATTAATATTAATAATTAAATAATTAATATACTATTAATTATTATAGTATAATAATTATTATTTATTGAGTTGTTCGTATTCCCCGCCAGACTGTAAGCGCTTTGACATCAAAGACCCTGGTTATCTTGTTAATCATTGAATCCTTAACATTTACAAGAGATTGGTCCATGATGTGAATGTTGAATGAATAAATGAGTCTCATTATAATATAATGTTAATAAAGGTAAGATTAGAAAAAAAAAAAGCATGATTCTCTAAAATATAGTGGGAATTAAGTTTAGTAAAACCTATATTTTTGGTGGCCATATTTTTTTATTTTTCCCAGAATATTGTGTTTAAAAGTATTCTACCCAAGTCTCAGATCATATATCACAAAATATAATTTATAAACATTTTCAACACATTTATTTATGAAAATAAGATATTCTTAAGTGATTTGTTTGAGGGTTGGAGAAATCAGTTTTTATTATATTAAATTACCTATTATTTAATCATGTATTGTTATGGTCCATTCAGGAATAACATGGAGGATATACTTAAAGTTATTCATTTTGATCTGATAATAGTGTATATATTATTTTTAATGTGAGTAAATACAAACAGTTGATCATACAATTGACCAAGAACACTCTAGCCTTTGAGTTTTACAGTTAAATTTTACACATACTGGTCTTACATATTTTATTTATCACTTAGAGAAGTGCCTAGCATCGGGGTAATATTTTTTATTTAGATAATTCCCAGAACCAAAAGCAGTAAAACATTTTATGTGTGCTCTAAAATATAGATATTAACATCACATAGAAATTCTACATAATTCATATTATTTAAAACTATTTAAAATTAGCATTGCAAAATTGATTATTTTTTCCCCTAATCTACCTAACTAATTATGAAAAAAGCAACCCTTTTCTCTGTGGCTATCTAGGGTTTGTCAAAACTCAGAAATGCCAAGTATCATCGAAATTTCATAAGAAAGTGCCTCATATTGATGGAAAGTATCCATTTCAACTTAGTAGAAATTCCTATTACCAACTTTCTTCAAAAATATTTTCTGAAAATCCTCTCCAAGTTCTGCTACCAATTTTTCATTAGATGATAAAGGTAAGTGCTTTTTTTTAATCTCAAAAAACTACATTTCTTTAAAGTTAATTTCTAGAAAAATCATATACATTTAGAAAATTGCTCTTTACTGTCATAACTTTAAATCCTATTCCCAATAGAAGAAAGAATTAAAACAAGTTTTCTAATAATAAACATGTGTACTCCATTTTGTAGCATTATACCTACCATTATAGATAACTTAACCAACAAACCCACACAGACATATGTAAGGTGCAAAAGCTCATATGTATGGACATACCTTTGCTCTTGTATCAAACTTTTCTGCCACAGTAGGTCTACAAGAGATATTGAGAACAGCTATTCCCCCAAATGGAATTATTCCTTCTGATGGAATAATACTCATAGTAGGCAACAGACTCTGATTATTAACCTGTAATTGAAAATTAGCAGAAATACTACATTATTCTTCAAGATTATAGTTTCAAAGCTTTCATAGGAAAACCTCCATGCCACTACCTAAAGAGAAGATCTCCAGGTACAGGACATGAGAGGATTTTGCAATAGTATTTGAAAATACCAAAGGTTCAAATAGTTTGGACTAAAAGAAAAAATTACAACCTTATCCAAGAAAACAGAACCTTCAGTAGTGACAACAGCCAATTCAAATAGGATGATAGGATGCTGAAGTTTATTATCTGGAGTGCTTTTAAGACAGCAAAACTTACAAAGATGATATTTCTGTTTGAGAAGATGACAATATTCTACATACTATTTTTGAGTGTTTGTCTCCCTGATCCTAAAAACTCAAAATAATGTTAGTGAGGAGGTAGGATGATGAAGTAATCTCTTGTTCATTATCTCCTTGACAGAAAGCCTAATGTCTAAGGTGTTATTTTGATCTTCAGAAAAGTTCTAAGTAACTTACCAATTATTTATTGTATGATTTTTCCTAGGCCAATTTAAACCTTTTTACCATGCTTTAAGCTAGAATAATTTGAAGGAAAAATGGCCAAGAGATTTTTGGGACTAAAGGAACAAATAGACTATGTAGGTAAGAATTAATTCTAAAGCAGCAGGGTAGAAAAGAGTCTCCTCATTTTTCAGTTTTGCTAAAGATTTAATTTGGGCAGAAAATGGCACATTAATGTAAAGCCTGAATGGAAAATCTCAAATGCTAATCTCTATTACTATTACTGGGAGGGGAGGTTGGTCTTACTACATTTTTCAGTTAAAAAAAAAAAATCACCACTTTACTCCTCTTTCCATTTAAATCAGGAGCAACAACCATAAACATACTCTCTCCAGAATGGCCTTGATCTAGGTCCCAGGTGCTACCATAATGGTCCTGATAACAGAGTAAAATGAAAAGAAAAATCATATAACTATATATAGAGTGTAACATTTTAATGTATATTTAAAAAATTAAACATCTATTTTTTCAATAAAACCAAATTACAGAAAGAATAAAAGGGAAACAAGAAGAAACAGAGAGGCTAAGTAAGGTAGTGAGAAAAATTGTTCTTAGAAGAAATTAAGAGGACAAACTAGATGAACCATACTCAGATACATTTCATATGAAATATCTACAAATTAGCAAAAGTGAAGAATGAAGTATTAACTTCATAGTATTATGATCATGTCATCTGATCCAAATAAGAAATTACCAACACCCAATATTACCTTGAAATAAGCATGGTTTTGTCCTACATTTTGAAGAATGGCTTTCTTCCAAGTTGTTAAACCCTGAGGGCACTCACCGAAGAGTATCCTTGGCTCCAAAAATACAACCTTGGTGTGACCAGGCTAATAAAGAGAGGAGGAAAGGAAAAATACAGTTGAATTAATGGTAAATAAAATACTCTGTTTAATTGCTTTGGTCACAAAAATATTCTAATTTTGAATATATATTAACCAAAAATATAACTACTAAAATAAAATAATAATCCTCCTATATTCTTTATTCAATATGTTCTAACATGCAAAATAAATCACAAATAGGGTTTTATATGTTAGTTTTGATGAAAAAGTACCCAAAGTATGATAATTTTATTTTCCAAAATTTAAACTAAATCTGTGATAATCTAGTTAGGATGGGGTAATAACATCATAGGAGATATTTTATTTAGATATTTTGGCTGTAATAATAATTAAATCTTTAGATATTCAGAATTTATATATTTAGATATTTTAGGTAAAAATATCTACATATTGATGGTTATCATAAAAAATGATAATAGTAATAATATTATTGTGTACCTAGTATTAACCAGATATACAATTAATTTTTACCTACATTTCCACTATGTTCTATCAGTCCAGAAAGTACCCAGAGGAAAGCTAGGCTATGCTTATGTTATTCATCTTTAAATACAAAAAGACTATATGGGGCCTGGTACAGTGTAGGGGTTCAGTAAGTAAATGTTATATGAATGAATGGATGGTACTATCACACTTTACAGTGGAAGAAACCAAAATTTAGGTGGAAGTACTTTGTCTAAGTCATACAATGATTGCATAACATTCACCAGCTCCACAAAACACGTAATAATATGTTTCAATAAACATATGCAGTTCTTAATGTGTCAATCTTGTGTGGTTTTTTTACAGCTGAAAAAATTCCTTACTATGAACAAGGAAGTAAAGTCAATTCTTCTCATGGTTAAGGAGGGGAGGTAATGACAGCAGCTATAAAAAATACATTTTTCACTTTAACGATATGACTCAATTTTTTTCAGCTTCATAGTGACTTTTAAAATATAAAGTGTTATCAGATTTGTGGAATGCTTAAGAGAAAGGGAAATGAATTTAATATTTACAATATACTCCCAAACTAGGGAAGGCGAGAGAAGTAAGATAATTCTATTAAGAAAGTAGATCCAGGACTAAAAATCATGTAGATTAATCACTGAAAGGGATCTTAGGGAGCATGGACACAACTATGTACAAGGTGTTCCTATGTGCTGTGCAAAAGGAAGAGTTGAAGGATCACGTAAGTATGGAAAAGAAGGTGCCAAATGAAATTATTCAGGCATGTTTCTCCTAGAAGTCTACTCATGGGGATTCTAAAAATGAGGATTCAGAGAATTACTTAAGGTCAGGAATCCCCCTCCTCATCTCACACAAAGCACCTCACAGAACTAGTGCATCACAGACTGATTTTTGGAAATGTCGGTATCATCCACCTCTTCAATTTTTCAGGAAAGCAAACAGTAGCCAAAGGGGAACTAGAATCCAAGTTTTCCAAATTCTTATTATGTGTTCTTTATATCAAACCCTATTGTCTTCACTTATGAAATATTATTTGTTATTATCATAGGTTTTAATATATTCTTATAATTGCATTTATTTGAAGAATATTATCCAGGTAATTGGAACAACAAATTTTAAAACAAAACTAACAGAAGAGTAAATAGACCAGTCAGGCCTTCTAAAATGAATGACAAGCAAATGAATATTTTAATGAATCACTTCATGTTTCTCCATATATAATACACATATGCATGTTATAATTGAATAGAAAGTTTTTTGGTTTTTGGTTTTTTTTGTTTGTTTGTTTGCTTGTTTTTTTGAGACAGAGTTTAGCTCTGTCACCAGACTGGAGTGCAGTAGTGCAATCTCAGCTCACTACAACCTCTGTCTCCCGGGTTCAAGCAATTCTCCTGCCTCAGTCTCCTGAGTAGCTAGGATCACAGGCATGTGGCACCACAACCAGCTAATTTTTTTTGCACTTTTAGTAGAGACAGGGTTTTACCATGTTGGCCAGGCTGGTCTCACACTCCTGACCTCAGGTGATTCGCCCACCTCGGCCTCCCAAAGTGCTAGAAATACAGGCATGAGCCACCATGCCTGGCCAATAGAAAGTTTTTAAAAGAATAAACGTAATTTATACACAATGAAAAACAGTAAGACCCAGCTTATTTTAGGCTTAGAAAAAAAATCCTACTGTCACTTGCCATCACTAAAAGTGGATGAATCTCTCATCTCTTAAGGCTACAAAATCTTTCACAGCTAAAATATGTAAGAGTATCATCATGTCCTAGAAATATAGATGGGATTTGATAAAAGAGCTTTTGGTTTCTTTAATATTTCTAAGAACATTGGATAGAAAATTTGGTATACATGTAAAATATATGCTTGGTGACTGAGTCATGAAGTTAAGGCCTTCTGGATTGTACCAGAAAAAGGGTAAAATTACATATTACAGCTTTCACTTGACTCACATTTTTAATCCATCAAGTATATTCTCTGGATATATTTTTTGTTTCTCTTAATAAAATCATGTCATTTCAATGGCTCCCATGATGATGTTACATATTCAGTAGAGGCTCTAACAAAAACTAGTATTGTTGGCATGAAAGTCTTGGGTTTCAGAGTTAATTCTAGATACAGGTAACTATACAAACCAGTGTACACCCAACCAATCTATAGCCCTCAAAATAAAACCATGTTCAAGGAAAATAATTACATGTGCAAAACATTTTAGTTTCACCATGTTTCCTTTTAAGACATGAAGAATAAATTCTCCTTCTTCTGGAGACCTGAAGCCTGGCTGCCATGTTACTTCACATTCCAGTGAGGAGTATGCTTCAACGGTGCCTACAGAAAATGTAGAGAGAAAATAAGACATTTTCCACATTTTAATTGTATTTATTTTTGTAACTATCCAAAATAAGAGTTAAGGTAAAAATGTAATGTCATTAAATAAATTATTAAAATTAAACTCCAAAACCAGAAAAATGCTAAGTGAGATATTATCAAATGAGTATTGACCTATAGGGTTTGATTAAAATAGAAAATGCATGCCTCATTTTTCAATTTTAATAGGCAAATAAAATACACAAAAAATATACCACTATTTGGAAAACAATAGAAAACTTAGCAATGAAGCAAATACTCTATGATTAGAGATAAATTTACATATAGACAGTAGAAAATCATTTGTAATTCCTAACAAAATCGCCCACTCCACATGTTTCCTGACATTCTGGGATGTTTGTCAGTATCGTTCATTCAGCTCACAGAAGGAAGAATTATCATTATCAGAGAACTTTTTTCTAAATACATACATCCCTAGAGATGTAGCTTCTGATTTAGCTATCGGTAATTAACACATTGCTACAATTCAAATACACTGAAAACTATGTGGTATCAGACACATTTGGTGTGAGCTGTTTTATCTGTTTAAATTCATCATTTCCTTTAAAGTAAAGAAAATAATATTTAATGGAAACAATAACTTAGATGCTCTTCCTTCAGAAAGGGAGGAGCCCCTGAGTATCAGAGGCACAGGATACTGAATGAAAGAAATCAAACACCATCACAAGCAAACTTTGCCTTGGGTCAGGTTGAGTGTCATGGAATGGAAGTTTTCTAAATCTTAAAAAGGATACAGTGCCTATCTCCCTCTTAGTTTTGCAGTGGCCATATAGGGAGATAACAACATATGTACAGAGAGTAACATAGTGTGTGATGCCCAGAAAATACCCAATATCAGATATTTTTAATACTCTTGAATGCCAACACTGTGTTAGGCACATTAAATTATAAAAAGAAAGCCAGGTGCAGTGGCTCACACCTGTAATCCCAGCACTTTGGGAGGCCAAGGCAGGTGGATCATAAGGATCAAGACCATCCTGGCTAACACAGTGAAACCCTGTCTCTACTAAAAATACAAAAAAAAAGTTAGCTGGATGTGCCTGTAGTTCCAGCTACTTGGGAGGCTGAGGCAGGAGAATCGCTTGAACCCAAAAGGCAGAGGTTGCAGTGAGCCGAGATAATGCCATCACCACTCCAGCCTCTACAACAGAGCGAGACTGAGTCTCAAAAAAAAAAAAAAAAAAAAAAGAAGAAGAAGAAGAGAACTTGTTATGGAAGTGCCATCAGTTTAATAAGGGTCCATCAAGATTACATTTGAATGTAACAAATAGCCCTGATTCACTGGGTTAAGTAGATAAGAGTTGTTTATTTATTTTACTCAATCAAAATCCCAAGGATAGGTATTCCAGACCTGTCTTAACAGGTTGGCAATGCCTCCAAAGACCAGTGCGCTCTGCTAGCTTCCTATATTAACATTCCTTATCATGTGGCCTTCCACAATGTGAAAAGGTATCATATATCATGGTGGTTAAAAGAGCACAAATGCGGACTCCCAGGCAAGATCGCTGAATAGGAACAGCTCCAGTCTGCAGATCCCAGAGATCAATGCAGAAGGTAGGTTATTTCTGCATTTCCAACTGAGGTACCCCATTCATCTCATTGGGACTGGTTAGACAGTGGGAGCAGCCCAAGGATGGCAAGCCAAAGCAGGGTGGGGCATTGCCTCACCCAGGAGGCAAACGGGGTTGGGGAACTCCCTTCCCTAGCCAAGGGAAGCTCTGAAGGACCATGCCATGAGGAATGGCGCATTCTTGCCCAGATACTATGCTTTTCACACCGTCTTTGCAACGCACAAACCAGGAGATTCCCTCAGCTGCCTACACCACCAGATCCCTAGGTATCAAGCACAAAACCGGGCGGCCATTTGGCAGACATCAAGCTAGCTGCAGGAGTATTTTTTTGTACCCCACTGTCGCCTGGAATGCCAGCAAGACAGAACCATTCACTCTCTGGAAAACGGGCTGAAGCAAGGGAGCCAAGTGGTCTTGCTCAGTGGATCCCACCACCTTGAAGCCCAGCAAGCTAAGATCCACTGGCTTGAAATTCTCGCTTCCAGCACAGCAGTCTGAAGTCGACCTGGGACACTTGAGGTTGGTAGGGGGAGGGGCGCCCACCATTTCTTAGGCGTGAGTAGGCTGTTTTCCCCTCACAGTCTATACAAAGCCATGGGGAAGTTCAGACTGGGTGGAGCCCACTGCAGAGCTGCAAAGCTGCTATAGCCAGATTGCCTCTCTAGATTCCTCCTCTCTGGGCAAGACATCTCTGAAAGAAAGGCAGCACCCCCATTCAGGGGCTTATAGATAAAGCTCCCATATCCCTGGGACAGAGCACCTAGGGGAAGGGGTGACCATGGGTGCAGCTTCAGCAGACTTAATCATTCCTGCCTGCCTGCTCTGAAGAGATCAGTGGAACTCCCAGCACAGCATTTTAGCTCTGCTAAAGGACAGACTGCCTCTTTAAGTGGGTCCCTGACCCCCATGCCTCCTGACTGGCAGACACCTCCCAGCAGGGGTGGACAGACACCTCATAAAGGAGAGCTCCAGCTGGCATCTGGCAGGTGCCCCTCTGGGACAAAGCTTCTAGAGGAAGGAGCAGGCAGCAATCTTTGCTGTTCTGCAATGTCTGCTGGTTGATACCCAGGCAAACAGCATCTGGGGTGGACTCCCAGAAATCTCCATCAGACATACAGAAGAGAGGCCTGACTGTTAGAAGGAAAACTAACAAACAGAAAGCAATAGCATCAAGATCAACAAAAAGGATGACCAGACAAAAACCCCATCCAAACGTCACCAACATCAAAGACCAAAGGTAGATAAATCCACAGGGATGAGGGAAAAACCAGTATAAAAAGACTGAAAATTCCAAAAACCAGAACACCTCTTCTTCTCCAAAGGATCACAACTCCTCACCAGCAAGGGAACAAAACTGGATGGAAAATGAATTTGATGAATTGATATAAGTAGGCTTCAGAAGGTGGGTAGTAATAAACTCCTCTGAGCTAAAGGACAGGTTCTAACCCAATGCAAGGAAGCTAAGAACCTTGATAAAAGGGTAGAGGAATTGCTAACTACAATAACCAGTTTAGAGAAGAACATAAATGACCTGATGGGACTGAAAAACACAACATGAGAACTTCGTGAAGCATATACAAATATCAATAGCCAAATCCATCAAGCAGAAGAAAGGATATCAGAGATTAAAGATTAACTTAATGAAAGAAAGCATGAAGACAAGATTAGAGAACAAACAATGAAAAGGAATGAACAAAGCCTCCAAGAAATATGGGACTATGTGAAAACACCAAACCTATATTTGATTGGTGTACCTGAAAATGACAGGAAGAATGAAAGCAAGTTGGAAAACACACTTCAGGATATTATCCAGGAGAACCTCCCCAATCTAGCAAGATAGACCAACATTCAAATTCAGAAAATACAGAGAACACCACAAAGATACTCCTCAAGAAGGACAACCCCAAAAGAGCACAAATTCTAAGGTCTCCCTAGTTCAAACTCCAGAACTGGCACTTACTACCTGAAACCATGGACAATTTCCTTAATTGCTCTGTAGCTCAGTTTAATCACATGTAAAATAGAGAAAACAATTGTATTTAACTCAGAGAATCACATTGTGGGGATTAAATAAGCTCATGCTGGCAGGGAGAGCCACTTAGAGAGGAGGCAGGGGCAGGATTGAAGGCTGTGTAGAGCCCAGAGGGGTTTGGCATGGGAACCGCCACAGTTGAACACAACTTGGGATGCCCACACTCCAAGGCTTGCAGTGTTCCTCTAGAAGAATTTAGCCAGGGCATGTGTGCAGACTGACCTCCCCTCTCCTCCCCTGTTGGTATTAGTGTCCGTGTGCACCCCACCACACCACGACTGCTAGTACAAGTGCATCCCACCACCCTGGCCCCAATGAAGTGCTTTTGGCAGCATCACCAATAGGAATGCTGTGGCCAGCAGACCAGGAACACATCAGTCCCCACACCACAGCAGGTTCCTAATCTTCAGGAGCCAGAGAACAAACCTGGGGCCCAATACCAGTCCCCAGAGTTACAGCATTACAGCCCAGGAGTACAGAGATAAGCCTTGGCATATGTACCCAAAACAGGAGCACCCAGATTTATAAAACAAGTTAAGACCTACAAAGAGACTTAGATAAACACACTAATAGTGGGAGACATTAACGTCCCACTGACATTATCAGACAGACCACTCAGGCAGAAAACTAACAAAGATATTCAGGACCTAAACTCAAAACCTGACCAAATGGGCCTAACAGACATATACAGAACTCTCTACTCCCAAACATCAGAGTATACATCCCTCTCATCTGCACATGGCACATACTCCAAAACTGACCACAAAACTGGCCATAGAAAAATTATCAGCAAGTTAAAAAAAAAAAAACACCATCAGACCACAGCACAATAAAAATTGAAATCAATGCTAAGAAGGTTGCTCAAAACCATATAATTAAATGGAAATTAAACAACTTGCTCCTGAATGACTTTTGGGTAAACAATGAAATTAAGGAGAAATTAAAAATTTTTTTAGAACTAATGAGAAAAAAATATAACATAGCAGACTCTCTGGGACACAGCTAACACAATATTAAGCAGAAAGCTTATAGTGCTAAACACCCCCATTGAAAAGTTGGAAAGATCTCAAATTAACAACCAAACATCACAACTAGAGGAACTAGAAAAACAGTAAACCAACCAGAAAGCTAGCAGAAGACCAGAAATAACCAAAATCATAGCTGAAGTGAATTAAATGGAGACATGGAAATCCATACAAAATTAAAGCAAATCCATGAACTGGTTATTTGAAGGAATAAATAAGATTGATGGACGATTATCTAGACTAAGAAAGGAAAAAAAACGATCCAAATAGATCAGAAATAACAAAGGTGACATTAATACCTATCCCACAGAAATAAAATAAAATAAAAAAAAAAAACCTTACAAAATATTACAAACACTTCTGTACACAAAAAACTAGAAAGCCTACAAGAAACAGATAAATTCCTGGAAACATATAGCCTCTCATGATTGAACCAGAAGGAAATTGAAACCCTGAACAGACCAATAATGAATTCTGAAATTAAATCAGTAGTAAAAACCCTACCAACCAGAAAAAGCCCAGAACCAACAAGATTCACAGTCAAATTCTACCAGATGTAAAAAGAAGAGCTGGCACTATTCTTATTGAAACTATTCCAAAAAAATTGAGGGAGAGTGACTCCTCCATAACTCATTCCATGAGGTCAGGATGATTCTAATACCAAAACCTGGCAGAGATACAACAAAAAAAGAAAACTTCAGGCCCAAATCCTTGATGGACATAGATGTAAAGATTCTTAACAAATTACTAGCAGGCCATATCCAAGAGCACATCAGAAAGCTAATCCACCGTGTTCAAGTAGGCCTTATACCAAGAGACATAGGTTGGTTCCACATACACAAATCAATACATGTGATTAATCACATAAATAGAACTAAAAACAAAAAATACATAATAATCTCAATAGATACAGAAAAGGATTTCAATATAATTCAACATCCCTTCATATCAAAAGCCCTCAATGAACTAAGCACGAAGGAACACACCTCAAAATAATAAGAGCCATCTGTTATAAACACACAGCCAACATCATGCTGAACAGGAAAGAGCTGGAAGTATTTATCTGTAGAATTAGATCAAAACAAGAACTTCTATTCCCATGATTTATATTCAGCATAGCACTAGAAGTCCTAGCCAGAGCAATCAAACACGAGAAATAAATAAAAGATCCAAATAGGAAGAAAGTCAAACTATCTCTGTTTTAGGATGATAGGATTCTATACCTAGAAAACCCCATATTCTCTGATCAAATGCACCTAGATTGGATAAACAACTTCAGCAAAATTTCAGGATCCACAATCAATGTATGAAAATCAGTAGCTTTTCTATACAACATCTCAGCTGAGAGCTAAATCAGGAATGTGATCCCACTCACAATAGCCTCTAAAGGAATAAAACACCTGGGAATACAGTTAACCAGGGAGGTGAAAGATCTCCACGATGAGAATTATAACACTAGTGAAGGAAATCAAGGATGACACAAACAAATAGAAAAATATTCCCTGCTCATGAATTGAAAGAATCTATACTGTTAAAATGACCAAAGCAATGTACAGATTCAATGCTATTCCTCTCACACTACCATTGACATTCTTCATAGAATTGTAAGAGTACTATTTTAAAATTCATACAGAACCATATAAAGAGCCCCAAATTGCCAAAACAATCCTAACCAAAAAGAACAAACTTGGAGGCATCACCTTATCCAACTTCAAACTATACTACAAGACTACAATAATGAAAACAGCATGGTCCTGGTAGAAAAACAGACACATAGACCAATGGAACAGACTAGAGAGCCATACACAGAATTAAAGCCATACACCTACAACTATCTGATTTTGACAAAATTGATAAAAACAAGCAAAAGAGAAAAGACTCCCTATACAACAAATAATGCTAGGATAACTGGCTAGCCATATGCAGAAAATTGAAGTTAGACTCTTTCCTTAGACAACATACAAAAATCAACTCAGAATGCCTTAAAGATTAAAATACAAAACCTAAAACTAAAAACCCTAGAAAATAACCTAGGAAATACCATCCAGGAGATAGGCTCCAGCAAAGATTTCATGATGAAGAAGCCAAAAGCAATTGCGACAAAAACAAAAATTGACAAATGAGACCTAATTAAACTAAAGAGCTTCTGCACAGCAAAATTAACTATCAACAGGTAAAAATACAATCTACAGAATGGGGAAAAAGATTTTTCAAACTATGTACATATCTGACAAAAGTCTAATATTAAAAAATAGGCAAGGGATATGAACAGACATTTCTCAAAATAAGACATTCATGTAGCCAACAAGCATATGAAAAAAAAATTCTCAACATCACTAATCATTAGAGAAATGTAAGTCAAAACCACAATGAGATACCATCCCATACCAGTCAGAAGGGCTATTACTAAAAAGACAAATAATAACCAATGCTGTTGAGGTTACAAAGAAAACAGAATACTTATATACTGCTGGTGGGAGTTTAAATTAGTTCAGCCACTATAGAAACCAGTTTGGTATTTCTCCAATAATTTAAAACAGAACTAATATTTGACCCAGCAATCTCATTTTTGGGTATATATCCAAATGAATATAACTGATTCTACCATAATGACACATATATGTGTCTGTCCCTATTAACCATAGCAATCACACAAAATCCACCTAAATACCTATCAATACTAGACTGGATAAAGAAAATGTGGTATGTGTGTGTGTATATATATACGCACACACCAGGGAATACTACACAGCCATAAAAAAGAATACGATCATGTCCTTGGCAGCAACCTTGATTGTAGCTGGAAGCCATTATCCTAAGCAAACAGATGCA